AAAAGGAAACACGCTTTGTTATTTGATTAAGTTTACTTTGCAGCCTTCATTGTATGGGTGGCATTATTATACAAGCTGGCTCCTAAGAAGAGGTGAAAGGCAGCAGGATAGTTAATGAGGTGGAATGAAATTCAAGTTCACAGATATTTACTGAGCACTTTCTCTGTGGGTGGCTCTGTGCCAGAACTCATGTAGAACACAATTATGAGAAAACAGCCCTGCCCACAAACTGTTTAAAATCAAATAAGGCAGAATTATGCAAACAATTTACTCTAATTCAAGCCTTGGGTGATCAGTTCAAGGAAAAGGAAAAAAAAAAAAATTGACACTAGCAACAGACCAAGGATAAGAGGTAGTCACTAGCACAGCCAACTAAGGAGGCCAGCATGCAACATTGTGACAGACAGTGAGGAATTCAGGAGGAGCAATTATTCAGCCACCCCCATGGTGCCAGATCAGAGACCACAAGTGCTCTGACTTCTGTCGAGCCAGGTTTTCCAAAGGTACTAGTTGCGACCAAGCTAAACGATTTCTATCTAAACATGCCTTCCTTGCTCTGGATCCGTCTCTACAACAAACAGCAGCTGATTCCATACTGCATTCAAAGCACTGGGTTGGACACTTGGTGAAAGAAACTCATTAGACACGGTCAGTGCCCTCAAGGAAATCCAGAATCATCCATCCAGCATGCATTCATTCAACTGACATTTATTGAAAATGTACTATGTATCAAGGACCAAGGAACAGGCTGAGGCTTCAGAAATGAGCAGGACGCGGCTGAGTGCACAGTTCAGGGCAGAAGACGGACATAAGAGGTAATGAGCACCTGCAGCTTTAAGACAAGAGGGTGGGTGACCAGGAATGACACTGAGAGGAGCACCTCTACAACTAATAATTATACTTCTGACTTGAATACAAGGTAGAGGGAATTAGGTCTCTAACAGGGACACAGGCGTGCGCCATGAGAGTATTCTCATGCATTCTGAGTATTCTGAGCAAAGATGAGCCCTTGAGGGCAGAAACCAAAGCCATAGCTTCTCATGGCTTTGATGACTCACAGACCAACCAGTGAATCAGACCAGGAAAAGCCTTTGAGAAGGTCCCACGTGGTTCGGAGCAGAAGTGGGACTGGAATGCAGAACTCCAAACTCCTAGAGGTACCTCTCCCCAAGCCCATCCTGCTCCTCTGGGTCTGTAAATGAGCTGGCCAGCCCCAGCTAGGCCACACTGCCATCTGAGGCCACCAGGAGGGTGAGGAACAATTTTAGCAGGAAGCTCAGAGAATAAATGGTTAAGAGGTTCCCACTTCTGCGGTGTGGACTTCTTGTTATCGTTGTCTTGAAGAGGCACGTTTGCTCTCCACCCTTCCCAGATGAAAAGCCATTCCCAGCCTTCCTACAGCTGCCTATAAACAGGTGTAGACCTGAGCTCAGGTGCGTGTCAGAATGAACATTCTGGTTAACCTCTTTTTTCCACAGTGGGGAAACCAAAGCCCAGAGAGACTGAGGTCACCCTGCCCAGGCACACCACAGGTTAGACGGCACCTGATACGAGTCAAGCACGTTTTACTCAACGCTCCCAGTGTGGTGGGCTATGACTCATTCTCACAGCCCGCATTTTTGGTCGACTCAAGGGTAATAGGCACTAGGAGGGTAAAGAGTGTGCTAAAAGGATATATTAATTAACCATGTATTGCAGAGAATGATCCTAAGAAATTAAGAAATAAAGGAAGAGAGAGGTAGAAAAAAGTTCACAACCCTTTTTTCCCAAGCGTCTCCAAGGTCCTTCCCTGATCCAGCCCTCTGCACCACCACCCAGGTGCTTTGAGGTTTGCTCCCCTAATTAAACGGCCCCAACTCGCACCATTTTTCTATCAGTATCCAACAGCAAAGGTGGGAGATGATTGCCAATTTCTTGTGAATCCTAAAGATTTCCTTTATGAGTCATGGAAAACTGAAATAACTTGGGGGGCGGGAACGACTTTTGAAAGAAATACAGTTTTAAATCAGTTCTCACTAATTTGCTCCGCTGTGTGGTATAGCTCCTGAAGACAGGAAAAATTAAGTTTTGGGGAGTTTTTGTTAGGTTGTGTCAATTGTCACTGTGGCATTTCTTATTAGGATTTTTCTTACTGTCATTTTTTGTTATATTAATTATAGTTTGATCAGTGTAGGAGCTATTTTGAATCCATGGGACTTTCCTAACCAGATTGTTTTGGCATTTTAAAGTCACTCACATTTGGGTCCTAAATAATACAGCAAGTATATCCTTTTCTTTCTCCTTTATACTCAAATTCTAAACAAAGGAACCATCTGTTCACGCTGAAAACATCAGCCCTTGTTTTCATTTTTCCGTTAATAATAATGCCTCAAACTTATATCATGTCTTTCTCCAACTTGCTTATTAAGGCATTTTGTAGATATTGCCTCATTCATCTTCAACACCACCCCCTATAAACTGGGGAGAAAAGGAGAATGGTCGCCAGTTTTCAGTTGGATGAGTGATTACTGGATGTTTCACGAATTTTGTACAAGTGATTGCACATGAGCATCACAATAGAGGGACCTTGGCATCGTCAAGCCCAGTTCTGGCTCTTCCATATGTAAAAAGGAGGTCAAGAAAGAAGTCACTCCTCGTTCTATTTGGGAAGTGAACTCTCTACCGCTGACTCTAAGCTGGGAGGAGAAGAACCATGCTCTTACACATTTTTGTATCTCCGGAACCTAATGTGTAAAAAGGGCTCATGTAAATGTTTGTCAAATAAATGAAAATGCCTGCGAATAGTTCCACAGGTGGCTGTGGCACAGCTGGGGTCAGGCTCGCCTGCTCTCTTACTTAGTGTGTTATTTTTAACAGTACCACGTAGTCTGGAATGCCAGAAGAATTGAACAGAGACACCCCCAAAATGGGGTTGTGAGCATGGGACAGGGGTACATGAAAGGTGGACCTATGTCTTTAAGTAAGAAATTTGCTGAACAAATCCAGTAGGAATCCCCGAGTTTGGCCATTCAGCCATGCTAAAACTTAAGCCATGGAAAGGCTGACTCTTGAAAAGCTCTGCATTATTTATATGCTCCACGTATTTGGGGGTTTAATGGAGCCATTCCTTAACATTACCCAACTGGAAGAAGCAGTGTATCTTAATGCCAAAGGATGGCATGTCTCTGTAACAGCCCTCTGCCCAACACGAAAGCATCCTCTACCCTGCGATTCACCCTCATCACCCAGTAACTCGAGAGCACTCGCAGTCTTGGGATCCTGAAATCCACCAGCCCAGAGTTTTCCAGTGAGCAGAGAGGTCACTGAAATAAAACCTTTTTTCCATGTGCCTTGCTGGAAATCAGTAACTCATTTGGCATGCTTTTCTTATTTTCAGAATGCCCTGTTCCCCACTGCTACACATTGAAGCTCAAGGAAAAATAAATTGTTTCTAGAAAAGCAAGTTAAGTGTGAGAGTCTGACATCTGAATTGCTTCTATAGCAGTAATTCTAGCAAAGCCTAAACATTCTTCAAAAATAGGTTGTGCAGACAAGAAAGCTGCAGGTCCAAGGAGAGAACGATAGCACTTCTCCAAAAAGAAAAGAAAGCATACAGCCGAGGAGAGCGCAAGTTTATTATAATGAGGGCTCACATAAAGTAAATTAATTTCATACATGACCAGGAAACAAATTAGTTACAAAATACCAACAAATCGACACGAATGAACCTTCAGACCATCCTGATGATTTTGTTTTCTCAAAGGGGGAGGTGGGTGAGGATGGTAGAAAGGGAGAAGAAAAAACTACGGGAAACAAGTACGGAGACACTTAAACCCTTCACACGCTGCGTCTGCCAGGGACACGGAGGCTGCCATTGGTGTCTGGGGTTGCCCAGCACACTGTGGGAAGCACTTATATCAAGCCATGTAGTATCAGCAGGAGCAACAGACAGCATTCACCTCAGGACAAACAGCTGCAGAGAGGCCCCCAGCACAGGCGGCAGACACAGCAGATGTCTGTACTGAATTCATGCCGTATCAATACTCCCTTCCTCTCTCCCTCTTTCAGATCGCAGACCTTCAGAACTAAGGCTGCCCCGGACCATTCACTACTCTTGCAGCCACTACACAGAAGGGTAACCCTCTCCCAACATGTTCCTGACACAAGTGTGTCCTTTTCATCCAGATGGACCTTTCTGCTCTCAGGCTATCTCCAAAAATATCACCTTGGACTTTGCATACATACCCCATCATCCAGCGTCTTAACGTCTTACACTTAGAAGTGAAAGGGTCCTGCACTGAAGAACATAGAAATGACCCACAAAATGTATACTTAACTGGCCTTGATCTCCAAACCTAACTTTTTCAGAGGATCATGTCTATGCTAGCCATCGGGGCAGCGGATTAACTAAGCATTCACCTGACGTCTGATCGTGTGTCTGTCATCTCTGCAAGAACAGAGAAGCCTTGCCAGGCACCTCCTGCCAAAGCCAGGTCTGAGCAAGGAACCCCAGAGAAGGCAGACGCCTCACCTCACCGGAGCAGCCCTGCCAGCTAACCAGTGCACACAATTTCATAGTGATGACTGGTACTTTTCCAAATAAAAATGTCTTTCAAAAGATGCTGCTCGTCTAATATTCTAACTACTCAATTAAAGTTGAATGATTTGGGGTTAGGCTCTCCACCACTCTGGACATCAGCTCGTTTTTCTACAAAATAAAGCAGTCAATTTCAGTAACTTTTAGGCTTCCTTCTGACTCAGAAATCATGTGCCTAATTATGAAATCCCTACTGCCAAGTGGTCTGCCCTCTCCCTCCAAGTGTGTTCATCTCCACTTCACCCTCTCACACACACACATACATACACTTTCCAGTCCACCACCTTAGAAGGCAAGTGCAAGCAATCCCTACCCACAGTCCCCATCGCTGTTTCTCTGCTTAAGATTTGGCACCAAAAAGATGTTTAAGTTAGTTTATGAGAGAAAAATGAGACATACAGTAGCCATTTACACAAAGACTCACCTTGAGAGAAGCTCTTCTGTGCATTGCAGCAGCGCCTGCATCACTCTAGGCCACAGAGGAAGCCATCTGCCTGGGTCCCAGCAGCTCAAGTCCAATCTCTACCTCATCCTCTCTGAGATCTTGAAGTCATTTTACCTCGCTGGGCCTCAGTTTCCCTAACTATAAAATGAAGTGTCTGGGATAAAGTAAAGGTCAAGGTATCTACCATTTCTGACATCCTGTTCTAGAGTTCTGCAAGTGCATTAGAAATCAAAGCAAACTCACCAAAGCCCTCTATCTTGTATTGGTGTTTCCCTACAGGCTCCCAGATAGATGGAAGTGACTTTTTGCATGATCTTGCACAATAAACAATACTAGCACGTTAATAGGAGCAAATACTTCTAATTTGTGTTTGTTTATTTGTTTATTTCCAGGCTAAAGAAGTTGTAAGCACCACCTGTCAATGGCCTTTGGAGATTCCATGATGCGCCCCATCCCCCCCACCCCGCCTTTTTTTCAAATAGGCCAGAAGTTCAGAAACTAAAAAGGTCAAAGTGGTAAACATAAGGGGCCTGAAATATTGAGAAAATGATTTAGGGAAAATAAGACCACATCACTCTTTAAAACCGTTTTTGGTTTGTGTGTGTGTGTGTGTGGTTTTTTTTAACCAGTAATGATATTAAGAAGGGTTAACATAAAGTAAAAATAAAATTGAGCACAGAAAAGGCTGATTTGCCTAGGATCCCTTTCAGCCGTGTCATCAGCAGGAATAGCAAATACTCACGTTTCTATTTGTTGCCCTCAACTGACATGGTTGGTCGTTTGTTTTGTTTTAAATAAAATGGGGAAGCAACAAATATATTAAATCCATCTGCAAAAAAACCCATATTTGCATGTGGAAAACAAATAAGTGGGTGCCTGAATGGGTGATTAGGCATGCAATTGCCCATCTGCATCCAGGGCCCCAGCCGCCCTGCAGGTGTGCCTGCTGCAGGAGCAGAAAATCGGAGAGTTAAATCGGAGAGTTCGCAGTCACAGAAGGCGACAGACAGGAGGGAAACCAGTATCCTCCGCGACTGGATCCTGTTCTGAGCTGCCCATCACTGCTATCCTGGCTCCCCATTCACTGCCCCTGTAGCTTCTAGCTGAAAACTAGAAGTACTTTATGTCATCCTTTTGTTAGATTTCTGTCGATTCTTTAAATCACAAAGCCATTTTTTTTTCTGAGCATCGTCAATGCGTGCTTCACAAATATTTGTTGTTGCAACTATATTTATAAGCATGGGTGACCTCTTCACCTATACTCTTCACCTTGGTCACTCCATTCCAGCCACACTGGTCTCCTCGCTTTTCTGGAATGTACCCAGCATGCTTCGGTCTCAGAGCCTTTGCAATAGCTTTCTTTCAGCCTAAAACATTCTGCCCCCTCTTTTCTTAGGTTCCTTGCCTCATTTCATTCAGGTCCCTGCTCAAGTGTACTCTTATCAGTAAGATTTTCTCAGACCAATGAATTTTAGTCAGTGTCCTCCCTACGTACCTCTGTGCCCTTAACCTGCTTTATTGTCCTTCTGAAAACAGATCACAACCTAAATATTACATATTTACTCATTAGTTTGCATATTATTTGTCTCCATCAAGTAGAAGGTTTGTTTGATTTTGTTCACCATTCTATCCCAGCACCTGGTACAGTGACAGGTACACAGTAGGTGCTCAATAAACAACTGTTAAGCAGTCATCATTATTACTTGCAAACCACTACACTAGGCACCAAGGGTCCTCTTATGGAATACAGAATTCATGCTCTTAAGAAGCTTCTACAATTTCGTGGAGGAGGAAGACCCAAAAAATCTGCTTATCTAGCAGAGCACAGTGACATGAATATATATACACACACACACACACACACAAAACGCACTCTGATTGTATAGAAAACACAAGCTGTTGACAACAGGATGGTGAGGGAGGGACTGCGGGAAACCAACAGAACAGAATTCTCTGGAACTATCTTTTTAAAAAGAATAGAAATCATCCTCAGAAATATTTTCAGTACAAAAAAATACTAAGACATCCTCAGTTAGCCTCCTTTCCTTCATCAATAATGCTAAATGGGACAAAACATTGCCCAAGATAAGTCAGCATTTATGTGTGCCAAGACGATGGAGAAAGGAAGAATCACTTTCATCCATAAAGCCTTCATTTTAAAATGGGAATTATTTAAATACACACAAAACATGCCTCCAGAAAATTCCACTGTCCAGACAGGGAGGACTCTACAGGACAACCAGCCCAACTTCTTATTCCGTCTATGAAGGACCCACCAGCATCAGCCTCTATTAAAAACCTGCAAAGACCAAGTCTGTGTCTCCTTCCATGCCAGAGTCTCACTCTGTCCCTCCTCTCTCTCTTCTCCACTCTAACCATTCCAGCTTCTTCTGCTCAAAGGCTCTGGGTACCAGTGCCATCAGCCATCCTAAGCTGCCCTCTACCTTTCTCACCTCTCTCTCTCTCTCTCTCTCTCTCTCTCTCTCTCTCTCTCTCTCTCTCACTGTTCCAGGATTTATGTATGTATGTATGTATGTATGTATGTATGTATGTATGTATGTATATAGCATAATGTTCAAGCAATTTAGCATTCAGTTGAGAGCTAAGTATTTTGTCTGGGGTTGAGAGAGGAGCATAGAGGATCCAAAGGATTCATGAGTTAACTCTGTGAGCCCTGACCCAACAAAACCCTAGCTGAGTCAACGAACTTTGTGATCTTGACCTTAAAATGCCATCTTTGACATAAATGAGAACAATGCAAACACTGTAACTCTTTGGAAGCAAAGAAGACAAAGAGGTGAAAGGCATCTCCTGACCTCACTCTATATCAGAAACATACAAAATTTGGGGAGCCTGTGCCTCCAATAAACCACGGCCCCTCTAGTCCTGTTTGCCCCAGCTTCTCAACTCCCTCAGCCAGCCTGCATGGATAAATGTGAAATTAGAATATGTAGTTTCTAACCATCTCTATACTTGAGAACTGGATTCTAGCCACTACCTGCTGTGTGACCTTAGGCAAGACACTTAAAGTCAGAAAATCAAAGCATCCTAGAAAGTAAAACAAAAAGAGATCTCTAAACATCTAACCCAAAATAGCCAAGGGACCTCTTGTATGCCTCCACCACCCTTTCCCACCCACAGCCATTATAGATATTACTAAATGATCATGGACTCTTTCCCACTCAGTCAGGATACAGCTTCAGAATCCTTCTCAACACATCTCAAGGAGCCACTACCAATATACTATATGGCCACATGAAATGAAATCCAGGCCACTCATTCTTCAGATGAAGAAAACTGCAGCTCAAAAGATGGGCCACGACCTCTTCATGCCTTAGTGTTAGGAGCAGAACCTCAACTACAAAGGCCCCTTAACCCATTCCCCTAAGTCGCTTTTCTATTCTCTGATGTTCCCTGACTATTCCTTGGCATGGGGATGAAGAGCTTGCTATTGTATTAAGTTCTATAAGAAAGAGAGATACAGGGTTTCTAAGTAGGCACGAAGCTTCAGAGAAGGCTTTGGAGGAAGAGGTGCATTTGAGCTGGCTTGAAGAAGTTGGCTATCTTTAGGAATCAGTGCGCTGTTTCTACATTTAGCAGAAGAAACTTCAGGATTAGGAAAGAATCTCCAGTAGAAGGAACAGTACAAGCGAAGGAACAGTAAGGACTGTTGTATACCGACAGGATGCTGTGAGCCGCTGAGCAGAGCAGCAGCCATAACAGAGGACATTGGCAGGGTGGGGGGAGGGGGGGAGGTTACTGAAGAGGACGATAAGACAAGATTAGAATAGTAAACCAGTCTTTGTGGTGTTTTAAATGCTGATTTTTTTAAATTGACTTAAAGGCCTTAAGACTCATAAATAGGAAAAGATGATAAAAAAGGGGTAGAGGGAAAGTCAAGAATAGATCTCCAATCGCAATGGAGAAAGAATTTTGCTATAAACTGTATTACAGGAACACTTTCATTATGTAAAAGCCTATTTTGTTTTCATGTCATCCTTAGATTACATCATAGAGTGGCTACAGCCGTCTCATACCATATTATAAATAAATCACTAGCTTAATCATAGAATGAGCCAGGGCCCTAGATTTAAAAGGAAAATATTAGATCATTTTTAATAACTGATATAACTCAAGCCAGTCATCATTGAAGCAGGTTGAGGTGATGTCATCCTAAACAAGTCCAAAACGGGACCAAGGAGGGTCAGTGCTGGGCAGGTCCAAGAGGAGATTCCATTTACAATGGAGAGGTAGCTGACGGCAGCTAAGTGGAGCTCATGCTCTGAACTAGCCAATCTTGTCATGAAAACCAACGCTTACTTTTCCAGTAGCAATGCCCAAGAGGCCTTCCTCATGAAACATAGTAAATGAATATTTTGTTCACAGAACTACTATATTTCCAGATCCCAGACAACGTGAGTATATTGTGATGTCTGTATTCATGTCTTAGGAGTCACTGAGCAAAAGTAAATGTTAAGGTTTTGAGTTATTCAGGAAAACATGAAATCCAAGGTGACACATGCAAATGCTGCAGGTTTGGTCCAAGCCAAAAGGACAGTACGAGGGCTTTCAGGTAACGGTCTGACAAAGGAAAGAACTGAGGGCAGTTTCTAGCAGGTACAGACTATGAAGGAGATTGGAAACCAAACATTTAACGGGCACCAACTGCATAGTAAGTACTATACTCAGTAGGTGCTTTATATATATTATACAGCTTTGTGAGCACAAAAGAATCTGTGAGGTAGATGCTATTTGCCCCATTTTTTTTCAGGTATGGAAACCAGTTTAAAAAATGACTGAGTGACTTAAGTAAGATTATGCAGTTAATTCATGATTGTCTTCCTACTCCAAATTTTGCTTTACCTTGTTGCCTTCATCCACTTCAAACTATTTCCTACTATGGACTATCAATAAAAATCAAATAACTGATAAAAAATACTTTGAAAGTACTAAAACCATAAAAAATATTGAGAGCTGAAAGGGGCCATGGAACAAGAAATAGTATTAACATTCTGGCCAGTGACAGTCTCAATGACCAAAGCTGGCTTTCCTTATTTTGGCAGTAGAGCTACTAATGAGCTTGACCATAATTTTAAGTTTCTCATTTCCATTGATTTTTTAGGAATGTTAAGGTGGAC